GAAGGTTGTCAATAAAGCAATTATTGAATTCATATTAGCATTGTCCTAAGGGGGCGAAAAAAAGGAAAAGGCAATCTTTACTAGTGCTCACAGATACTGCAAAAACAGATTCACTTTAAAAATGTTGCTGAATACTTTTATTCTTGCATTTCTCTTAGTTCACTTTCAACTAGTCAGTCACAACAGGATCACTATTGATACAGTATTCTAAGGACACACAGGATCTTCACTGTATGTGAAAATGCCAATTCATCTTCCTCACTATCGTAATTTATTCAAATAAAATAATTTACTCAGATCCAGCATCCGCATCTTGTTCTTGCAGGTCTCGGAGAAGAGCTTTCACTTTCTCTTGATTCTCAGAAGTCATATGGAGAGTCTGTAAGGGCACTTTGGCTTTGGGCTTCCATTTGGGGCGTGTGTCTCCTTTTCTTACGTTACTGTTGCTAGGTCTGCAAAGGACACAATAACAGAATTACACATTTACCTGAAATCAGAATTTTTACACTCCCCTGAGAGTCCCCAAATATATATAACATGAACTAGATTGTCAAGTATCTTACAAAAGATGACAAGGAATAGGAAGAGGTCATCTGTTTCCTATAATCCCTACTAGACTTCATTTTGTTGGAACTGCTGGAAAAAACACTGATCAGATTCTTAATCATTAAAACTGGTTCACTAACTCAAGAACACTCTGGAGAAAGCAATGCTATCACGACTCCCTCTGCACTGGAGAACTTTTGAAAGAAATATGCTACACAAAGTGTTTATTGTGTTCTATGTTAGGTAGCCAATCTGAAAGCAATCAAGAGTCCCACTTAGTTGTCAATACTCACGAGTTAATACTTGGCCTACTTTTGAAATATTTACCTAAATTATCATTATTTCCTGATTATAAAAAATACATGTTCACTGTAGAAAAGTAAAGAGCAAAAAAGAAAACAGAGGTTACCCTAATTAACATTATCTTTTTCATATACATCTTTTAAAAATTGTACAGCATATATAATTTTTTATAATTTGCTTTATTTCCTTTTTAAATTTAAGCTGACATTTCCCTAAAATTAAATATTCTCCTACAAGAAACACCAATCAGAAAGAATATATGCACCCCCATGTTCATAGCAGCACAATTCACCATAGCTAAGATTTGGAAACAGTCTAAGTGCCCACCAGCAGAGTGGATTAGAAAACTGTGGCACATCTACGCAATAGAATATAACGCTGCTGTAAAAAAGAAGGAATTCTGCCCTAACCGGTTTGGCTCAGTGGACAGAGCTTCGGCCTGCGGACTGAATGGTCCCAGGTTTGATTCCAGACAAGGGCATGTACCTTGGTTGTGAGCACATCCCCGGTAGGGGGTGTGCAGGAGGCAGCTGATCGATGTTTCTCTCTTGTCAATGTTTCTGACTTTCTATCCCTCTCCCTTCCTCTCTGTAAAAAATCAATAAAATATATTTAAAGAAGAAAAAAAAAACCAAAAAAATTAAAAAAAGGAATTTTTACCATTTGCAACAGCATGAATCGATATGAAGAGCATTATGCTAAGCAAAATAAGCCAGTCAGAGAAAGATAAATATCATATGATCTCACTCATTTGTGGAATATAATGAACAACATAAACTGATGAACAAAAATAGAACCAGAGTCATAGAAACATTGAACAGACTGCCCAACCTATGAGGGAAGGCGGGGGGTGGGAGGTGAGGGAATAAGAGGTCAACCAAAGGCCTTGTATGCATACATATGAGCATAAACAATGGACACAGACAGTAGGGGGGTGAGGCATGGGCTGGGGGGTGGGAGCCCCTGGGGAGAGATCAATGGGGGAAAAAGGAGACTCATGTAAAACTTTAAACAATAAAGAATTTAAATAAAAAATATTCTCCTACAACATCATTTTAAGTGATTACTTATATAGATCTACTAGAATTTATTTCACCAACCTTCATTGTTGGAATTTAGATTTTTTAAAGGACTGTTTTTAATATTTAAATCATAAGTTCTAAGGTTTAACTTTATTCACTAAATTTCCTTTCCTTTTTTAGAGGGGTGGGCATGTTTCATTATACATTTTCACAAATCTTGAGAAGGGAAAGAAACGTTCTCTGTATTTAAATGCAACATATTACGGAGACTTTGAAAAGAACCACTGGGGAAGCAAAGGAGAAAGTACAGTTGAATGTGGTTTTTTTTGTGTGTTGTTTTTTTAAAAATATATTTTATTGATTTTTTACAGAGAGGAAGAGAGAGAGATAGAGAGTTAGAAACATCGATGAGAGAGAAACATCGATCAGCTGCCTCCTGCACACTCCCTACTGGAGATGTGCCCGCAACCCAGGTACAGGCCCTTGACCGGAATCGAACCCGGGACCTTTCAGTCCACAGGCCGACACTCTATCCACTGAGCCAAACCGGTTTCAGCTGAATGTGGTTATTAACTACTAAGCTGCAAGAGAAGCCAAAGAGATGCATGAAAGGAAGCGACAAAGGGAAGAAGAAATTGAAGCTCAAGAAAAAGCCAAACGCGAAAGGGAGTGGCAAAAAAACTTTGAGGTAAATTTCCAAGGTGGTCAGGGAGGGTACATTGAAATGAGGGGCTTGGTTTAAAAAGAAACCTTCCTCCAGCCCTTACCCCTAGGCCAACCAAGATTGGAAGGTGCCACCGCTGGTGCTGCCTTCTCCACCCTGTAACTTAATGTTTTGTACTTCACTGAATTGTCATGGTTAGAGACTTCATGTATAGTTTGTGGAAATCATCCAATTAAACATATTGCTTAAAAAAAAATGCTACCTCAAATCCATAATTTCCCATTTCCAATATTCTCATAACATCGGTTACAATAATGATATTACACTCAATTCACAGCATCATGTGGAAGTTCAAGTTAATTTCACATTTTGAACTTCCAAAAGGAAAAAGCTGTTATTTGCCATCATACATTTAGACTATATTATACAGAGGGGGACTGCAAAGTTTTACAATAAGAGGAACAACTAACTTGAGCAGAATTCCTTGGCTTTTCTTCCCCCTTCTCTGAGCAACTATTGTCCCATACATTAGGAATTGACACCGTTTCCATCTTTGGACATTCAGAGAGCATAATACCTGGCTGAGGACCTTGATTCACTGAAGATACAAAAGTCATCGCCGTCATCCCAAGTTCTACTTGAGGCCTTTCTATTGCCACCACTGCCGCCACCACCGTGAGATTTACTAGCGTTACTCCTGCCTCCTCTTCCTCCTCTAGAAGACCCTTTCCCACTTCCTTTGCCTGGCTTGCCTTTTCTTCTTACTGAAGAACTCATTTTCACCTGCAAGAGAAAAAAGGAACACAGACCTCATGACACCAGACAGGTATAATAATTCTTTGTTTTCAAAGTTATGGATATAGCCTATTTTTTAAAGTGGATCTGGAAACACTGCTTTTATTTTTGTTCTTTATTTATTTTTGCGTTGTTGTTAATCCTCACCTGAGGATATTTTTCCATTGAGGAAAAAGCTGGGTAGGACTGACTTATGTGTTAAAACAATTACTTTAGTGCGATGTGAAGAATAAAAGGACTGGATGGTGGTAGTGAGGAGGAGAAACCAGGAGGCCAGTTAGGAAATTACCGCAGTCATTCGGTGGGTGAAAGCAGGGGAGCAGGAGCAAAAGAGCCCCAGAAGCCCAGAGTCACAGGAGTCCCAAGAGAAGCAAGAAATAGAACTCCTCTGTTTAGGGAACTAGGCATTCCAAACCCTAGAGCCCATGCATTGCCACACCCATTCTGGACAACCATTTCTGTCCCCAGGCATTACTGACAGCCAGCACCTTCCCTAGCCCCCTCCAACCTCACCGGGGCCTACACCTGTCTTCCTTTGCTGGAACCTGGGGAGTGTAAAGCTGCAGCTTCCTGGTGAAGCTGCCCAAATGACGAGCCTGTAATATCTGCCCTTCCCATGCTCCTTTCTATCATTAATAACTAGCTAGTTACAATGGTATCAAGGGAACATACAACAACCAACCAATGAATGCATACATAAGTGGAACAAATCAGTTTCTCTCGCTCTCTCAAATAAATCAATAAAACATAAATAAATACATAAATAAAGAAGAGTGGCTAGCCACCCAGACCGAGCCATAGCAAGCTTGCCTAAAGAGTGATCCACAACTTGTCTCACACCAGCCCCGAAAGTATTGCCTTTACAACGTGATCTGAGATCTGCGCTCAAATTCTACATTTAGACTTGCGGGCTGTATCCAATATGACTCTCCCCAGCCGTTTTCCAGGGAACAGGAATCATGCTGCATAAGCCATACAGACAGACTTTACTGTTCTATCCCAGGTTGCAGAGGCCGATTTCAGCTATCTTTTTTCACCGTGGACACAGGGGCCTAAGTTTGGTTCCAAGAGTATCCTTTGTTTCACACCCAAGTTTGGTTCCCGGGCACAGAACCACTAAGCTGGGCACTCAACACTGACACACACCGCTCCCCTTCCAGGCAGATCTCCGACGGACCCCTCACAGCCAGCTCCATGCAGACACCCACACCTGGGACCTCTACCGAGCATGCAACGCCCCCCAAACAGCCATTTGGTTCGAGATGGAGACGACAGGAAATGAAACCTGGCCCCTCCAATCCATGCCTTTACCCCTCCGAGCCCGAACGCAGCGCTCCCGCAGGCGGGGCCAGCTCAGCTGCCGACCCCCCCACCTGGCCCGGCCCCAGGGCCTGGGGTCCTGCCGAACAGCGGGATCCTCAGCACCGACCGCTTCGGGAGAGGAAGGCGGGAGAAGGGTCTACACACTGACAACCAGGACGACGCGCAGACCGCGCACACGGACACACCCCTTGGCCGCGGAGGGGGCGCCGCAGCCGGCTCGCAGCGCCG